CGTTCTTCTCATGTTAATCTATCATTTACTGAAAAATGTATTTATAAGGTGAAATATGACACATCTTATTTAGACATACATTAGTTACGGTTATCAATCGATAACTAGAATCGTAAATAATTGGTCGAAAGGTTAACTACTAACTCATCATTTAATGAGTCTAAGAGGAGAGTACAAAGAGGAATTTTTGTCATTTTTAGCTAAAAGATTGCGTTTTTCACCTGATAAATTTCATTTAGATATAAATCAATGAAATTCATTTCATTTCGAGTCAAAAGCAGCAAAATGAGCATGTCACAGTGGTTAACACATTTGATCGACTAGTTATTGTTACGATTATCGTTGTGTGTCTAATATCAATTACTATTTTCTTTACCTATTTGTTTAATTTTAGACCTATCGTTTTCGATGATGATAAAAATTCATTATCGGTATCCTATTTCTATCATTTGTTTCAAACATGTGCTTATACAATCATGGCTGTATTGATTATGAGATTAAAATTATTTTTAACACCTCAATTATGTTTATTAACAAGTTTAGTGATGAATAAACATTTTTGGCCAAGTAAAATGAATACACCAGTCTATAGAACAACTTTATTCATAATTATTTTTGCATCAATGAGTTTTTATGGTGTGAAAAATATTAAGGAACAATTAAATATCAAAGGTAATTTTATTCATATGATTTATGCAATAAAAATTCTAATATCAACTTGTAACGAATGTCCAATAAAGAATGTGTTATTTCATATTAGGCTTATATCTCTATTAGAATTTATCCATCACAGTTTCTTTTCTTACTAAAAAATTAATCGGAATAGAATTCTTCAGAAAAACATATTGACTATTTCATTTGTAAAATGTGAAAATGGTATGTTATAAGAAAAATATTCAACTTTCTACAGTATGGAATCACAACTTCGAATTTTAGTTTTAAATGAAGATACAGGAATTAGGTCCATCAGGCAACATCTTCTGTTTCTGTTAGGTGTGCTCTTTCTTCTCGTGTATAATAAACTTCTTTCTAAATCTCATTTTTTCCCGGAAAGAATTGCTTTTATTGAAATTCTCTGAAAAACAGCGAAATTTTGATTTTTTCACTAACGATGGAAGGATCCCAAGTTACAAATTGTTTGTCGAATGAAACTAGGTGGACTATATGTAATTAATGACGCTGATTTGGAATATGAACATCGAAATTGCCCTTAGGCTTTTGTTGACCGGTTTTCTGAAAACTAAATCTTTAAAAAGAAAACATCTTCATTTTTCTGAATTAGCCATTTTGTAGAGGACATAAAATTGTCTATGTTCCATAAGTTTTAGTTTTTCAAACAAAAATCAACACCGTGAGAAAATTTCCCGAAAGAGTGGCTACGCTGGTTTTGATGGGAAAATGTTCTGGATTTGGTCTCTGATTTTTTGAGGATCCAGTTTTCAGAAAATCGATCAATAAAAATCTAAGCTCAATTCTGATGTTCATATTTGGAATCAGCATCATCAATTATATATAGTCCAACTAGTTTAATTGGAAAAACAATTTGCAACTTGGGATCCTTTCCTCGTAAGTATATTAGAAGAAAAAAGTTGTAGAGAGTTTTTCATTCGGACATCATAGACATGTTACTTCTCTTGAAAATAAAAGTAATTCAAATCGAAAATGTTTGATTTTGAATGAGTTATAAAACTTTTGCAGCTGGATGCGAAATTGCTTTCAACAAAGTAATAATTTTTTGATAAAACGAAAATAAAAAATTCAAAATTTCTCATATAACCAGTTGTTATGTGAGAAAAGTCGAGTTGCAGGCAATATGTAACACTTTTCAAAGGCGATTTAAAGTTTTCTCTCAACAAATAAACGAATTAGACCGAAAAAAACGTGTTTTGGCTAGAAAGTTTGATCATTGGAGAGATTCTGAATATTTTTCTTATAACGTGCCGTTTTCATATTTTACAATGAAATAGTCAATATGTTTTTGTAGAGAATTCTACACCGATATGTTTCAGTAAGAAACGAAACTGTTATGAATAGAGAGATATATGCACAATATGAAATGACACATTCTTTATGGAATACCTGCGGTGAGGAACCATATCCCGATCGAGCTATATATCCCAATTAGGATATTAAAATGTATCCTGATCGGGATATTATAGCCCAATTGGGATATATGTTTTTGTATATTCCAATGAGGCTATATTCCTATAGTCCGATCGGGATATCTGCTTTTTTGTATATCCCAGTTGGGATATAGTTTCCGTACAGTAGGGCTATAGTTTAAAATCTCCCAAAACTAATTAATGTGGTACTTGTGGTGCAAAGGTGATATAGAACACAATATACCAGTTTCCAGAACTTGAGTGATGAAAACGCTTTGGTATTTTTAAAACTTTAAGCTTTTGAACGCAGTTTAAGCATCCGAAATTTTTTTTGTAAAATTTAAACACACCGTGATTCGTCGTCCGCGAAGCGACGACAAATCATAACTGAACATAGCTGAACATTTCACTAGATGTAGCTATCTTATGTATGTCCAGAGTAAGAGAAAATCTCAAGATATTTCGAGAAAATGTTAAAAACAGCTAGTAAAAAAAGTAAAATATCTTGATCGGGACATAGAATATCAATCTAGAGAATTATTTAAAAAACGGTTACTCACTGGAAAAAAGACTTGGTCAAAAGGAAAAAAGAATCTTATACAGTTTTTTACGCTCTTTTCGACGGTATGGTCAAAACTTTCCGCAAACATCACCAATTTTTCGCTAATAAATTTCATTTTAAAAAATCGAATTTATATCCCGATCGAATTATATGCTTTTTGACTATATCTCGATCAGGATATATTTTGATTCAAAACGGGATATAGAGGATGAGACTCTATTGACCTGCTAGATTACAAAATTTTGTTTTTCTATTTTAAGGTGAATATAGTAATTATCCTCAAGAACAAATGATGTTATGGATAAATGATAATACTCATAATGAGAGTATTTTTTCTGGTATAATGCCAACAATGGCTAATCTCAAATTATCTACTCGACGTCCAATTGTTTTACATCCACATTATGAACATGCAAAAATACGACGACGAGTAAAATTAATGTATTCAATGTTTAGTCGTAAACCATTGAAAAGAATTTATCAAATATTAAAAAATTATAATGTTACCTATTATGTTTATGAACGACATTGGTGTACAATTGAAAATAGACCATTAGGATGTTCATTTCCAGAAATGTACGATTTAGATGATATTGAAAATAGACGAAATGAATTGACATGTAAACAATTGGAACGACAATCGATGCCATATTTTAAACCTGTTTTCAACTATGATTATATTACCATTTATCAAGTTATGTAGAACAGAAAACAACCAATATTTACCCAACGATAATCGAGTTGCTTAGAAGAACTCGTATTAGATTTTAACAGATAATCTCATTCCATTTTATTTTTGTGAAATAATAGTTAATGAATGAATACTGATATTTTTTTAAAATAATCTCATTTTTTATTTTATTTTTTTTTATTAACATTATGTAATGCATTTTCGTTTGTGAATGACGTGTCAAGAATGCTCAGTATTTTTACTCATTTTTCTTTGCTTATTATTTTTATTTTTTGATAATTTTCACTTAATTTTTGGTAAGTGTATGCATTTATTTTTATTTTACTTCCTTATAATTGCATTTAGTATTTCCGCTAATTTTGTGACGGGTGTAAGCATATTTCTGTGATTATTTTATCCATGACATTGCATTTTTATGTGTTTATGAATAATGAGAAAGAAAGAATGAAAAATAGTTAAGAAAATTTTTAATTCATGTGATTTATTTTTTGTTTTTCTCACATTACTCTCATATTTCGGATGGATGCGAGTTTACTGACGACGGAATCTCCTCAGATGTAATACTCCGTTTTCAATGATTTATGTGCCGATGGATAGAGGATAGTCAGCTAGTAAAAGTCCTAAAATAATTTGAGCTCATCATACTTCTTTCAAGAGTTATGAACATTTTTTACTTGTCTGTGCAAGGGAACCTACTAAGACCTTAGTCAAAACAGCGAATTAAGAGCTGAAATATTCTCTCGTCATTGTGCTAGATATCTATTATTATCACAGAAAGTTTTAGCCTTCTAACCCTAGTACTTGCGAAGTTATTGACTTTTCCCTACTTAAGGAAAATCCATGTGTTTTCCAAAGAGGTAAAGATGGTGCGGAATAATGGAATATGATTTTTATGGAAACAAGACGAATGGCGTTGAATTCTGAAAGACGTTTGCGTTCATAGCCGTTGATTACACAAGCGACTCTTTGAAGTTTCCCGTTAGGATCGTCCTTGTGGTAGAATGTTGGCCGGTTATTCTGATGAACCGCAGCATCAGGCAGACCGTTATCTCCCTTCCGCCGCATAACATGTGCTGCCGCAGAAAACATGTGTTTTTTTTTTAATATAGAACAGCTTCAATTAAAAAAATAAACACAGAAATACACGTGCGTGCCTATACTAAAACCAAGAAACGTGAAGTAACATAAGCACAGAAAAAAAACATTGGAATGCAGCGAATCCCTCCTGCTG